CTTGGGGTCTCACCAGGGTGGGCACAGCCACAGATGGGGTAGAGGGAGGGTTTTCTGTGGGATGCTGTGAACTTCCCAGCCCTCAGGATGCTTTGGGATGGATTTTGAGTCTGGCTCTGGCAAGGAGGAGTGGAGGGCACTGCCAGCATGGCACAGAGAGCTGGCACCTCCCAGTGCCTTAGGAAGGGTCCAGAACCCCTTTAATCTGGGAACATCCTGCACTTCCAGGGACCCCAGTGATTGCTCAGGGGTGCCAGAGGCTGAGCATGCCGGAATTCCTGGTGTCTGATGCCTTGATGGATGTTAGCACATTCCCCACTTCCCACTCACCAGGGCTGCATCCCTCACTGGGAGCTGGTGTGGGCACGTTCCCGTGTCACACGTGCCCTCTGCTTTCTGTGTCCTGCCCCTGCTGCATCCCTGAGCAGCACAGGGCATCCCTGCCCCCGGGGGCAGCTCCCCGGGCAGGGCTGGCCAGGGCAGCATTCCCATGGGGAAAGGTGACTCCCACACCTCTCCCACGGCTGGCTGGGACACTGCAGGGAGCCCGGGTCACCTCCCCATGCCCCAGCCCTGCTCTCACCTTCTGGTTGCTGGGGGTCAGGTCTTTATCCAAAGAGACAACTCGGAACTTCACTGGGAAAGGAAACGGAGGAGTGGCTTCATCCGAAGGGAGCGGAATTCCTCGTGGAAAGTGGATGGAAATCCACCCTGAGCCCTGCACTGCCCCTCAAGCAGCACCTCCAGTGAGTCCTGTCATTGCCCTTTGCCCGTGCTGGGCATTCCAGGACATCCCGGGATAATCCCTCCCATTTCCAGGCAGTGCAGGAGCAAGGCTGGGCCTCCTCACTCCTGTCCCCCACCAGGGCAGAGTGTTCCCTCCTGCCCCCCTCACCTTCCTGCCCAGGCTTGTAGACAGCCTTGTCCGTCTGGATGAAGATCCCGGGGCTCAGAGCTCTCAGCATCACCTTCTTCGACTCGGAGACATTCAGGGAATCTCCTTGGATTGAGACGTGCAGGGCCACGATTTCCTCCTTCCCTCTGGCAGGGGCAGGAGCCTGCAGGGGGAACAGCGGGCTCGGGGTGAGGGCAAGGACAGTGCCCAGGCTCCCTCCTGGTGACCCAGAGCACTCCTCACCCCCAGGAACACCTTCCCCGAGCCAGGGGCTGGGAAGAAACGTCCTCCCAGCACCCTGCAGGTTTGCAAACAGGATCATTCCAGCCACGGGATAAGCGGCTGAGTTCAGCTGTCAGCGTGAGGGATGAGACTGCTACAAGATGGGGAAGTTCCCAGTCCTGTGTGGAGCTGATGGACACGGCCTGGAGACCACCCAGGGCCCCCCTCCCTTCTCCCATCTGGTTTGGGGTGACATTGGGGTGACGCTCACAGGGAAGGTGACGTTCAGGCGCAGATGAGGCTCCAGGACCTCTCTCCTCAGCAGGGTGGTGGCCAGGGTCCCGCTGTCCCTCTGCAGCTGGACATGGACCTGGACGGGCCCCTGGAGGTCACCGAGGTGCAGCCAGAGCGTGGCAGGGTGAGGGTGGTACAGCACGGCCGGGGACACCAGCACATAACTCCTGGCAGGGACAAGGAGAGCCCTGGGGGTGAGGCACAGCCAGCACGGACCCACGGAGACCTGGAAAAGCCCCTGGGAGCACAGGAACCCCCCCAGCCTCCCCTCCCTGCTTCTGGGCTGCCCTTGGCTCCTCAGCTCAGCTCTGCAGGTGAGGGCACAACAGCTCCTCAGAGGCACCAGAGGCACCAGGGCCGTGTCCTCAGTGCCCCTGGGCAGGGAGAACCCCCAGCCTGAGTGTGCCCACCCTGGGCAGCAAGCAGGGCATGGGAGGGATTGAGTCCCACCAGGAACTGCCAAGAGGCTGAGCCTAAACCATGCCAGCAGGCACAGGAGGAATTGAATCCCACCAGGAATTGCAAGGGAGCCGAGGTTAAAGCCGTCCCAGCAGGAACAGATGGACACAGAGGGGACTTACGGTGCTGCAGAGGCCCCAGCTGAGAGAAGCAGGATGGTGAAGAGGATGGGAAGGGCTGGAGACATCATGTCCCCAGCTGGATGTGGATGTTTGGAACAGCCACAGCCTCCTCCTGTGGGTCTTGGATCACTCTGGATCTGTGTCTGATCCGCTGCAGGCTCTGAAATGGGATCTCTGTGTCCCATCCAGTGAGGAAACCGGGGCTGGCAGAGGAACCCTGGGCACCTGCGGATAAATCCAGGCAATGTTTGTCTTCTGCCCACAGCTTCCAGGGGTCAAGGATCCCAGGGCTGTTTGCAGTATTGGGAAAGGTCTCTGGAGTTCCAGTCTGGGGCTGGAGCCACCTCTGCACAGGTTTGCTGGGAAATGGTGTCAGGAGGCAGTGGGAACACATGGAAAACAAAAGTAGGGAACACAACATGAGGAGTGGTTGGGAGCTGGGGGTGATTAATCAGAAAAGGAAAATTTACAGCTATTTCAAATTTAACCAGATTTGGGCTGATCACATGGCCCAAGGCTGGCTTTTTTCCCAGTTTCCTCCAGGTTCATCCAATCTGGACACAGGAACAGGACAGTGTTGGGATGCGCCATCTCTTCGTCTGCTCCCATTCCACACATGGGAACTGGACACCCCTCTGAGCAGGGCCGAGCTGCTTCCCTCTGTCCTGCTGGGAATCTGGGACAGTTGAGGAGCTCCACAACAGCCCCACAGTGTCCTGAGCAATTCCCTGCTCTGGAGTTTGCAGTTCCCTTCCTTTTGAGGGTATGGCCACCATGGAATCACGGAATGGTTTGGGTTGGAAGGGACCTTAAAGCACTTCCACCCCCTGCCATGGACAGGGACACCTCCCACTGTCCCAGGTTGCTCCAAGCCCCATCCAGCCTGGCCTGGGACACTTCCAGGGATCCAGGGGCAGCCCCAGCTGCTCTGGGCACCTGTGCCAGAGCCTCATGGGAAGCCATGGAGGGGGTTGATCTTTCCCATGGCATCTCAGCTGACCACGGCTCTGTCCCCACACCTGCCCAGCTCAGGTTTTGCTGGACACGGCTCGGTGCCCACCTCCCTGCCCTTTGGAGCAGCCCCACAGGCTGTGGGTGGCTGAAGGGGGCTGGACCTGCCACCCCAAGGACACAAGGCAGGAGCACGGGCCCGAGTCCATCCTGTCCTGCCAGGATGTGGGCGGGGGGGTCAGTGCCCTGCCAGCCATCCCAGCATGGCTGGGTGGGACAAGGAGCTCACAGCTCCCCCAGCACTGCCAAGGCCAGCACTGACCCCCGTGCCCAAGTGCCACATCCACACGGCTGTGAAACCCCTCCTGGGATGGGGACCCAGCGCTGCCCTGAGCAGCTGTGCCAGGCTGGGCAGCCAAAGCAGCCAGGCAGGGCAGGCCTTGGAGAACGAGAAAAGGCAAATTGTTCCAAGAGCCCCTGTTCTTTTCTTCTCCTCAAGCTTTCACCTCCCACCGACAGTGGAAAATCCAGGGAGGGCTCTGGCTGGGTCCTGACCCTCCAGTCAGGACAAGGTTTATGCCCAGAGCAGCTGTGGCTGTCCCTGGATCCCTGGAAGAATCCAAGGCTGGGTTGGACGGGGCTTGGAACAGCCTGGGACAGTGGAAGGTGTCCCTGCCCATGGCAGAACTGGATGAGCTTCAAGGTCCTTCCCACCCAAACCATTCCATTATTCTATTGATGCTTAACACCCCAAACCCAAACTTTGGGCAGCCAAACTACCCCCAAGGTGGTGGGGCTATGGTGGGACCCCACTCCAGCTCAGAGCTGACAGACCATGCCACATGTTGGGAATCCTGGGAAGCAGGAAAGGATTTAAGGGGGTTTTCTGGAACCTTCCTGTGCCCTTGGCCATGTGACATGTCCTGAGCCCATGGGTTGTTCCTCATGGGAAGCCTCTTTGCTTTTTGGTGTCAGATGATTGCAACAGATTTGAAGGATTTCCGCCATAATCCAGCTGCTCCTGAGAGCAGGAAAGATGCCAAACCGGAGCTCTGTACCTGTGGTTTGCACCTTTTATCCCAGGATGGGAGGGGAAATCTTGCCCACCCTGCTCTCCACAAGGGAGCAGCCACACCCTGCCCTGTCCCTGTCCTGCTGCCACCCTGGGGTGCTGGCTCAGGAGCTGCTCAGATGGGAAGGAGCCAGGAGATTGCAAATCCCTGCCCAGCTGCAGGGAACCATCCAGCTGTTGGATCGTGGTCCAGAGGCCGTGGAAAGGCACCTCCAGATGGGATTGTGTCCAGGTGGGCACAATCCAGGTGTTGCTGGGAATTTGAGGCTTCAGTGGATGCTCTTCTTGTAAATCAGTGTATTTACTGATGGAGGGAGAGCTCTACCTTGGGGGCAGACCCAGAGCAGTGTAACCCTCACCCTGAAGTGTAACCACCCCTGAAGAAGCTGTGGGGATGCTCCATGTGCAGGGGTGAAGTCTCCCTGAGGAGATGGATCCCCCTCCCCTCAGCACAGCCAGGACACAGCACCAGCTCCAGACTCTTTAATGTCCCACCCTTGGCTCACAGCTCAGCTCCAAGGATGCTCTGCCCACCCTGGCAACCTCCCCTGGACCTCGTGTGTCCCCCAGGCCACACACTCTGGGTCCCTCCCCAGAGCTGACTGCACCCAAACAGCATTTCCAGCTTGTAGGAGCCTCTGGAAGGAGAATCCATGGGGGAACCCAACAATCAGGGGTGGGAAATGGGGCTGGGAACCCTCAGCCCTGCCTGGAGTATCCCTGCCCTGCCCAGCGAGCAGGCAGGAGCCATCCTGGGGACAGCCACAGCTCCACGTCCAGCAGAGACATCGAGGGGATGCACAGTCACAACGAGGGGTTTCAGGGGGCACCTTGCTCTGTTTTGGGGGTGCTGCCTGGTTCCATCCTGCCCTGCTCTGCTCCCCTTAGGGCACCGTCCTGCTGGGGCGGTGGCAGGGCTGCAGGACACCTCCTCAGGGGACAAGGGACACCTCCCTGCTGTGCCCAAGGGACTCACTCCCTCTGCCTATTTGCTGTTCCTGGCTGTGTCCCCCTGGCCCTGGGGCCTGCCTCTGTTGTCCCCCAGCCCCAGCAGAGGCTGCTCCGTGGCCTGGTCCCCGTGGTCACTCATGGACATCTCAGCCAGGGCCTCAGCCATGGCCTGGCGGACACTCTCCGTCAGTTCGGGGACATCCTTTGGGCTCAGGCCCCGCGTTTCCACCCTGGGAAGGACTTGGATGGTGCAGGTCCCTGGGAGAGGAGGGAGAAGCCAGGCATGTGTTAGAGGATCCCACCAGGAACCAGGGTATTCCCCTGAGCATCCTCCACCCCAGCTGCCTCCCCACCCCTCAGCATCCCACAGACACCCCCCAAGTGCCTCATCCCCAGCGCCAGCCCTGCCCTCTGCCACGGGAATTCCTGTCCGAGCCTTACCAGAGGTGAATCTCTTCTCCTCGGAGCTGAAGAAGTTCCAGTACGGGGAGATCACAATGGGAACAATGGGAACCTGCAGGACACGGAGGGTCAGACACCCCCAGACAGAGCTGTCCCCAGGTGGGACCGCTGCTCCTGCCTGGTGCTGCCCTGCACCATGTCCATCCCTGGGGCCAAACCCCCATCCATCCCTGGGGCCAAATCCCTGCATCCCTGGAGATCAAATCCCCCCATCCCTGGGACCAAACCCCCATCCCTGGGGCCAAACTCCCATTCCTGGGGCCAAACCCCCATTCCTGGGGATCAACCCCCCCATCCCTGGGGATCAACCCCCCCATCCCTGGGGATCAACCCCCCCATCCCTGGGGATCAAACCCCCCATCCCTGGGGATCAAACCCCCCATCCCTGGGGATCAAACCCCCCATCCCTCTGCCCCAGGGTTCACACCCACCCTGCTCCATCCAGGGTGAACTAAAGGGGAAAGAATCATTTTGGAAAAGGCCTCCAAGGCCACTGAGTCCCCTTTGATTTACCACGAGGGTGCCCTTACCTGTGCCTGCACGGCCAGGTGGAAAGCCCCACGCTTGAAGGGCAGCATGGATTTGCCAGGGTTCCTGGTGCCTTCAGGGAAAACCCACACACGGAGCTGGAGGGGACAGGGACAGAGGTAAACCTGGGCCTCAGCCAGGTCAGTCCTGCCCACACCCCCTCACCCCACGGGTGTTTCCCCCCCAGACCCAGTTTCTCTCACGTTCTCGTGCCGCATGGTGCTGGCAGTGTGGGAGATGACCTCGATGGCCGCATCCCTGCGGTGGCGGTCGATGAAGATGATGCCACTGAGCCAACAGGCCCAGCCCACCGTGCCCAGGTACAGCAGCTCCCGCTTGGCGATGGGCACACAGCGCTCGGGAATCACCTCCACCATTCCTGGGGCACGGATAACGTCCATTAACACCTGCCCAGCCCCGTGGGATTGGCAACAGAAAAACCACCTTGGAAAACTGCTTGGAAGTTGAACTCCACAGCTGGATAAACCAGCTGGATATCAGGAATAAGTTTTGCAGCTCAACCAGCCCTGAGAGGTGATGAGTGCAGAGAGGAGCTCTCTGGAGAGGCCAAACGACATCAGAGCACAGATGAATTAATCATTTATTCCCTAATATAGGACGAGGTTGGGTTTTTTAAACTTAAAGGACTTTAAGCTGTTCCCAGTCCCAGGACCACCCTGTGGTATCACCTTCCATTGTCCCTCCTCTCCCTGCAGCACAGCCCTGTCCCAAAAGTTCTCCTGGTCCATTCCCACCACACATCCCTGCCCTAATCCTGGTGCAGCCCTGGAGCCCCCCGAGGTGCCGAGATCCCCCCTGCCCTGCCCTGACGCACCCATGAGGTCCAGGGAAGCCTGGTGGTTGCAGACGATCACGAAGGGCCCCTGCAGCTGCAGCTGCTCCGCGCCCCTCACCCGCATCCCGATGCCGTAGAAGCGCTTGAGGGGCAGGAGCGCGGCGCGCAGGAGCCTGCAGAGACAAGGGACGAGGTAAGGCCGAGGGACACGGGTGGGAGCAGGTCTGCACCGCCCGGGGCGGGCGGGATGGGCCAGGCTGCGGCTGCTCTGCTGGACCAGGGCTCAGGCTCAGGGGTGCTTGTGTTCCTAACACATTGGCAGCCTGTGAGGCTCAGATCTCACCCGGTTCCCACCTGAGCTGTGTCCGGCTCCTGGCTCAGAGCAGAAGGAGCTGCTGGGGAGGGAGAGTGACCAGCATGAGGTGGTGGGAGCAAAAAAACAGGATTTTGATACCCAGGGATGATGGGAAAGCAAAAAGAGAAGGGAGGGATGGGGATTTAATATCCCAGTGAGGACAAACTGTCTCTGCCCAGGGGAGCCTCCCAGATGCTCTGCTGGATCCGTGTGTGGATGGAAAACCAGATCCCAGATTCCTAAAGCCAGAGCCAGCCGAGAGGAGCTGAGCTGGGGATGGATAAGCACAGGGCATGGATGGCAGAGGGACAGGCAGATCCCCAGGGATGTGACCCCAGGGACTGCCCCTGCACAGCTCTGGGCTGCAGGAGGAAGGGAAAACCAGCATTCCTTAGGGGAATCATAAATCACTCCACCAGACCTGCAGCGTCAGGAAGAGATGGATCTGAGCAGAAAAGCGGTGCCACATCCCAAGAAGGCTGGACAGGAAGGGGAATATCAGGATGGCAGTGATGGGTGATGCTCAGTATGAGAATAATGGGAGGAATGGAGGGAGGAGGGAGCACCAGGGATTCCAGCAGCCATGGAGAAAAAGTCCTGGGACACATCAGCGTTGGAATGGGGCAATGTCCAACCCACAGAGGGTCTGTGCCTGTCACTGTCCCCAGGGTACAGGGCAGGGGGCCAGGAAGGGCTCAGCACCAGGCAGAGGTGAGGAGGGAGAAGGAGGGGCAGGGTCCTGGCATCGCCCCCATCCCTCGGGAGCTGCAGGCTCAGAGATCCCTGAGGATCTGAGGAGAAGCAGTGCCCCAAAGCCAGGACTAATGACAGGGAAGTGCTCCAAGCCGCAGGCTTTGGGATTGGGAGGAGAGGGAGCTGGGCGTGCAGCGCTGGGCACTGAGGTGTCGGTGGGACAAGATAAGGCAGGTGAGTCACTCTGCCTCCCTCGGGGATTTCCACTTCACCGGAAGCGTTGGCTTTGCAGCAGCTCTGGATGCTGTGTGTGCCCAGCATTCCAGCCGGGAAGGACCTGGGAGAGGCTGCACCACCACTGATAACAGCGAACCTCTGACCACGCTCCTGCCACGGGCCGGGATCCATCGGCAGAAATCCTCAGTAAATTTCTCAAGATGGGATATTTTCCCTGTGACATAATTACATCCTTCCTGGTGTGTTCATCCTGCCCAGGATCCCAGCAATGGGATTGCAACACCCTGACCTTCCTCCGGTGTTGCACAGCAATGTCATCTCAGTGATGACATCTCCCTGCTTCCACCCTCGGCAGCATGAGTCGGGACATGGCTGTGATCACGACATCGCTGTGATGGGGCAGGGCTGTGCCCCTGACAGCTGATGGCACCATGACATCCCAAAGCCATGGAGCAGTTTGGGTTGGAGGAGATCTTAAACCCACCCAGTGCCACCCCAGACATGGCAGGGACACCTTCCACCGTCCCAGGCTGCTCCAAGCCCCAATGTCCAGCCTGGCCTTGGGCACTGCCAGGGATCCAGGGGCAGCCATGGAATAATCTGTGCCAGCCTCTCCACCCTCAATCCTGCCACAGAGATGTTGAAAGTGCTGTTCCAGGGTCTCCCATGAGCAAAACCAGAGCCAGGGACACAGCACTGGGTGTGCATTTACCCCTGCCCTGATTTACCCCCAAACCCCCCTGTCACCACCCAAGTGAAGACCCCAGCATTGCCATGACCAGGAATGATCCCTTTCATGTTATCTCATCCCTCAGGGAATCCCAACTCCAGTGTGGCCTGACCCTCCCTTGGCACAAGTCAGCACCTCTCACAGCACAAGATGCACTTCCCTGCCCCACGGATGTGACCACAGCCCTCACCATGGCCCCAGGGCTCTGCCACCAGCTGTGACCCAGCTGTGGGCCCATCCAGGGCAGGACAGAGCCCACAAACCACGGGATTTCCTCCACCTGAGCCAAGCCCCAGCCAGCTGTCCCCATCCCCAGCCCACACTCACTTCATGTTGTCCACGGAGCGTCCCCGGAAGGCGGCAAAGGGGGACAGCAGGGTGGCCATGGCCACAATCCAGCAGTTGAAAAAGGCCACCTTGCAGAGGTACTGGAAGCGGGGGCTGCACCTGTAGAGCAGCAGCGCTGCCAGGGGCAGGAGCAGCAGCCCGTGGAGCAGCAGCACGTCCATGGGGCCGCCCCAAGCTCAGCCCACGGCTGGGACGGGATCCGAGCGAGTGGCCGGGGCTGCCAGGAGCGTGGCAGGTGAATCAGGAGGATCCTGCGTGGGCGGCTGGGGCTGGCCCAGGGAAAGGCTCGGTGTGGATCTCATCCCCGGGGATGGAGCGGCTCAGGTGGAAGCAGGACACCCCTCCAAGGGTGGAGAGTGGCCATGAGTCACGGCAGGACCCTGAGTCACCTGAGGTGTCAGCGCTGACAGGGTGCTCCCGGGCTGTTAAGAGCCACTGCAGTGACTCCAGACTGGTAAGATCTGATCTGCTGAGCACAAAAGTGTCCCTGTCCTGGGAATCTCTGCTGGCTACGGGGATGCCAGCCCTGGGAAAGGGAGTCTCAGCTGGGGGGGACAGCAGGAGCTGCTCCTGGTCCATGGCCATCATCCCAGCCAGGCTGGTCACAGTCACCTGCTAGCACCCAAACCTCACCCTGCAGAGCATCAGATTATTGGAAGATATCTCCCACCTGGAATGACAGCAGGAATGTGGCACCAGTGTTCCCCAGCCGTGCTCAATTTGTGCAGCAGGAGCCCCTCTGCCCTCCCCCTCCCAAGGCCCAGCATCTGTCCCCAAGGTCCCCACAGTGCCTGGGGGGCTGAGCTCTGCCACCTGCTGCTTCCAGCCCGGGCTGCAGGAGGTGCCAGCCCTTGGCCCAGTTGGCAGCCAGGGGTTGTGTTGCATGAGGTGTTTTCATGGATGCAATTAGCACAGGCTGTAATTAACCTCTCCTCCTGCTCTAGTGCCTTGCAATGGGCACACAGGAAACACAGTCCCCTGGAAACTCCTGGAACCAGGTCCTTGTCACAGCAGGGACACCGGGCCCGTGTCAGCCCCCAGCAGCATCTCTCAGCCCTGCTGGTCCATGGCCCAAATCAGGGAATCACAGAATTCCAGGATGGTTTGGGTGGGAAGGACCTCAAAGCCATCATTCAGTGCCACCCCCTGCCATGGGCAGGGACACCTCCCACTATCCCAGGTGGCTCTAAGCTCCATCCAGCCCGGCCTGGGACACCTCCAGGGATGGGGAAAGGAGGGACATCCCTGTGCTGCTGCCCAGAGCTGACCCTGGCTCAGGAGCTGGGAGCGGCGAGATCCCCTCGTGCCACCCCACAACAACCCCTGAGGGGTCTCTGGGGCTCTCCCAGTCCCCTCAGGCCACTACTGGGAAGGTCACATCCACTGGGCCCATCCCAGCCCTCCTGCCCCTCACCAGGCAGGACCTGCCCTCAGCCCAACATCTCTGCAGCACTGTCCCTGCTGTGCTGCTCTTCCACCCACACCTTCCCGTGTCCCCTGGAGGTGACAGAGATGTCCCCAGGCTCTGGCCATGCTGGAGGGTGCCCCAGTTTGACCAGTAACCCCGGGGTTACGTCCACCAGTGGTGTTGCAATGCCCATTGCTTCACCCTCCCATTCCTCTCATTATTCTCATATTAAAGCAAAGATTGGGTCACATGTCAAGCCCACCCTTCCTGTCCAGCCCATTCCAGGTGACTCTTCACCTCCTCCTTCCCATTCTGTGTCCATGTGGAAACCTTTAGGCACCAGCCTGGTCTCCCACCAAACCCAGCTTTGCTTTTGGATGCCTCCTTCAGTCCCTCCTAGCTGGAGGAGCTGGACCTTCCTACTGGAATCCAGCATGATCCTCCTGCTCCACATTTGTGAGCTTCTCCAGGAGCCAGGCTGGGGAAGATCTGCCCATTCCAGAGCACAGGAAAGGTAAATCCTGCCTTCCACTGGGCAGAGGAGAGGTAGGGCAGCCCAAGAAGGGGGTTTAAGGTGCCTTTCTGCATCCTTGGCACTCCAGACCTCCGGCCCTGAGGTCTCCTGCCAGGAGCTCCACTCCAGGGAAAAGCCTGGAACCCCTTAGGGCTCAGCAGGGCTGGCACCCCTCTGTGGGACTGGTGGGGTGGCACAGGCAGGGGACAGCTCCCCAGCACCCAAAAACCTTCACTCCACACTTCCTCCTGCTTCCTGAGGAGCAGAGCTGAATCCTGGGAAACTCCATGATTTCCCTCTTTCAGGCTGCTCTCCCAGCCACATCCCCACCAAGATCCAGCTCTCCCTGTGCTCTGGAGATCCCACTCTGGAGCTCCCAGCACCAGCCCCAGCACCCCCTCACCCCCACAGGCTCTGAAAGAGCCCAGGACCCCCCTCAGCACCCCCCAAACACCAACAGAACCCCAGGACTCCCCCCCAACAGCCCCCAAACACCAACAGACCTCACCCAGCACCCCCAAACACTGACAGACCCCACCCAGCACCCCCAAACACCAACAGAACCCCCTCAGCAGCCCCCAAGCACAGACA